CACACCTGGTGGGCAGGGTGGGGTTCTGTTTGTAGGTGGCTGTGGGGAGACAGTTTCCTCACCTGTGAAGGGGGTCTGCATGCTCCAGTTCTTCGGGGGTTACTCCTGGGAGATGGCCCTTTAGAGGCCAGAGACCCCTTAGAGGAGCTGGGGAGGGCTGAGAACGCTTGCCCCTGAAAGTGCCAAACATGGCATTTGGTGACAAGCCAACTCAGGGAGTTCTTGGGCCCTCGATCGGACCTCGATTGGACCCTGTCATGAATGTGGGAGCTTTTGCAGGTGCCAAAGCTCTGCTCGTCCCCAAGCCCCTTACCTGGTCAGGTACCCCGTTCTGTGGATGAACGGATGGCGCTTCCTGAGACAACACGCCTAAAGTCCCGCAAACAGCTGGGGCACGGCTGGGATTCCAGTCCCCAGCCCCCAGACTCCAGAATCCCAGACCTGCACTTCTCCCGACAGGAACGTATCCCCGCTGAGGCTTACCCGCCCATAACCTCCCTGGCCACTCACCCTGTGTGCACCCTGGAGGGCCCTGGAGGAGACCGCCGTCCTGGTATCCTTCCAAGGGTGACTTTGAGGAGTGCCTGAGCATTTGGACGAGCTTCCCAACTGTCCTGCAGGTCCTGGTCTTCCATGGCAGGTGTCAGGAGAGTGAAGCCAGGCCCCCGTGCCCCGGCCCCCACAACCGGCCCACCCTGCCTGCCTGCAGCCCTGCGCCCCTGCCCTCTGGGACTCTCCCGGCAGCACCGAGAGGCAGACCGAGAGAGATGGGGCTGCCACTCGCAGATGGAGAAACAGGCCGGGAAGGGTTAGGAAGTAACTCAGTCCATTTGCACAGTCGAGGCTGGGCCAGGTACGAGGGTAAGACCCATGTAAGATCTGGAGAAGGAGGTCCTCTGGGCAGGGACCACGGGATCCACCCCATCTGTCCCCCAGGCCTCAGAGCTGGTCACGCAGCAGCCCAGCTGGGCTGGGTCCGGGAGTGGGCAGAGTAGACACAGCCCCCAAGCTCCTGGGCACACAAATAAACATACTTGGTGCAAATGAGCAGCTTCAGGTGTCTGGTGATGGGCGCTGTGTTAACAGTAGAGGGGGTGAATGACAGGGAGCTGCTTTGGCCAGGGTTCGTCAGATACGGCCTCTCGGAGGAGGTGGCACCCACATAAGGAGGAGGCACCACGAGGGTTCTGGGGAGAAGCCCTCCCCTCAGAGAACTGCAGGTGCAGAGGGTCTGGACTCTGCCCAGCCTGGAAAAGCCCCAGGACGGAGGTGCTCAGGGCTGAGAGCAGAGGGAGGGGGCAGAGAACTGCAGGTGCAGAGGGCCCGGACTCTGCCCAGCCTGGAAAAAGCCCCAGGATGGAGGTGCTCAGGGCTGGGAGCAGAGGGAGGGGGGCAGGGATATGGTCAGGGAGGGCGGTAGGGACAGACTGTGTAGGGTTAGGGGGAGATTGTGTAGAATTGGGGAACAGATTGTGTAGGATTGAGGGGATAGATTGTGTAGGGTTGGGGAAGATTGTGTAGGGTTGAGGGGAGCGACAGGGTAAGGTTGGGGGAAGATTGTTTAGGCGTAGGGGGCACATTGTGTAGGATTGGGAACATTGTGCAGGGCTGGGGGCATTGTGTAGGGTTGTGTAGGGTTTTGTAGGGTTGTGTAGTGTTGTGTAGGATTGTGTAGTGTTGTGTAGGGTTGAGTAGGTTTGAGTAGGGTTGTGTAGGGTTGTGTAGTGTTGTGTAGGATTGTGTAGTGTTGTGTAGGGTTGAGTAGGGTTGAGTAGGGTTGTGTAGGGTTGTGTAGTGTTGTGGGGGAAAATTGTGTAGGGTTGTGTAAGGTCGTGTAGGGTTGTGGGAGACAGATTGCGTAGGGTTGTGTAGAGTTTTATAGGGTTGTGTAGGGTTGTGTAGTGTTGTGTGTAGGGTTGTGTAGGGTTGTGTAGGGTCGTGTAGTGTTGTGTAGGGGGTTGTGTAGGGTTGCATAGGATTGTGTAGGGTTGTGTAGGGTTGTGTAGGTTGTGTAGGGTTGCATAGGATTGTGTAGTGTTGTGTAGGGTTGTGTAGGGTTGTGTAGGGTTGTGGGGGACAGACTGCATAGGTTTGAGCACAGATTGTTTAGAGTGGAGGACAGATTGTGGAAGGTTTGGAGAGCCATTGTACAGGGTAGATGGGATGGATTTGTAGGGTTGTGAGGAGAGATTGTGTAGGATTGGGGAAGACACATTGTCTAGGGCTGGGGGGCAGATTGAGTAGGGTTGGGAGGAGAGATTGTGTACAGTTGGGGGACACGTTGTGTAGCATTCAGGGGACAGATTGTGCAGGGCTGGTGGACAAGGACTGTGGGGTTGAGGGGTCAGATTGTGTAGCATTGGATGACAAATTGTAAAGTGTTGTGGGGGATAGATCGTGTAGCACTGGGGGACAGATTGAGTTGGGTTTCGGGGAGAGGTTGTGTAGTGTTGTGGGAGATAGACTGTATAGGGTTGGGGACAGACTGTGTAGGGTTGGGGGCATATTGAGTAGGGGTGGGGACAGATTGTATAGGGTTGGAGACAGACTGTATAGGGTTGGGGACAGATTGTATAGGATTGGGGACGGACTGTATAGAGTTGGGGACAGATTGTATAGGATTTGGACCAGACTGTATAGGGTGGGGACAGATTGTATAGGGTTGGAACAGATTTTGTAGGGCTGAGGACAGACTGTATAGGGTGGGGACAGACTGTATAGGGTGGGGACAGACTGTATAGGATTGGGGACAGACTGTATAGGGTTGGGGACAGATTGTATAGGATTGGGGACAGATTGTATAGGGTGGGGACAGACTGTATAGGGTTGGGGACAGACTGTATAGGGTGGAGACAGACTGTATAGGGTTGGGGACAGACTGTATAGGGTTGGGGACAGACTGTAAAGGATGGGGACAGACTATATAGGATTGGGGACAGACTGTATAGGGTGGGGACAGACTGTAAAGGGTGGAGACAGACTGTATAGGGTGGGGACAGACTGTAAAGGATAGGAACAGACTGTATAGGGTGGGGACAGACTGTATAGGGTGGGGACAGATTGTATAGTGTGGGGACAGATTGTATAGTGTGGGGACAGACTGTATAGGATTGGGGACAGACTGTATAGGGTGGAGACAGACTGTATAGGGTGGGGACAGACTGTATAGGGTGGGGACAGACTGTATAGGATTTGGGACAGACTGTATAGGGTGGGGACAGATTGTATAGGGTTGGGACAGATTTTGTAGGGCTGAGGACAGACTGTATAGGGTGGGGACAGACTGTACAGGATTGGGGACAGACTGTATAGGATTGGGGACAGATTGTATAGGGTGGGGACAGACTGTATAGGGTTGGGGACAGACTGTAAAGGATGGGGACAGATTGTAAAGGATTGGGGACAGACTGTATAGGGTGGGGACAGATTGTAAAGGGTGGGGACAGACTGTATAGGGTGGGGACAGACTGTATAGGATTGGGGACAGATTGTATAGGGTGGGGACAGATTGTATAGGGTGGGGACAGACTGTATAGGGTGGGGACAGACTGTATAGGGTTGGGGACAGATTGTATAGGGTTGGGGACAGACTGTATAGGGTGGGGACAGACTGTATAGGGTTGGGGACAGACT